CAACAAATAATCGAGGGAAGTGTATCGGCAAAAGAAAGAATGTGCAACTTCTGGTTGCGTTCGTTACCGCTTCAGATGTCGATCTGCACCGGCACTCGCATGCTGCCAGCCGCGGACGATGCGTGTTACGGCCGGACCGGTGGAAGTCGCCCATTGGTCTGCGTCGGTGCTTGCACACTACTTGACACCATCAACGATATGTGCTGCAGTGGCGCCGTCATGGTTGCCGATTGGTCGGCGGCGTCGACGATGAACATGATGCGGTCAATCCAAGCAGTTAACGTCAGCAGCTAAGTGTACCTTAGCAACTCCCACCCGTGGCTCCATGGCACCAATTAAATCATCATCTCCATATGGGCTGGATCTGAGAGGCCTTGGATGTGATGCCATGTATTTTGGACTATGGAAGCAAGCCAACCATGGTTGAGATGGGAAACGGAGGAGCCGGATGACGCGAGATATGAAGCGGCGATTGGTAACGGGAAAAATAGAAAACGGAGGAGCCTAGATGATATTGAGTGGGGATTGGAAAAGACGAGGAAGGGGAAAGGCCGGAGGGAAGACCTGTCATTGATAGTCCACCACCAACTGCTTTGACCACCGGCGTGGGGATTTGGTAAAGATGGGTCTTTTTTTAACAGTCAGAGAGATGGATGGGTCGGTTCACACATCTGGGAGAGGTGACGTGGCTGCATGTACATGTGGGTGATGTGGATGGCTTGCATGTCAAATTGGGTAGTGGGGATCAACTTCTTATGTATATAGGATTTCTGTCAACATGAACGATATTTGGACTATTTATATAGCTACCATGTGCTGAACAAATTGTCTGATTAATGTAATACTGCTGAATAGATTGGTGTGTGTGCCATGTCATTTGGTCTGCGTTACACTAACAGAATCATTTTGTCAATGCCTGGTCCATTAATACTCTTTCAAAATTTTGTCTTGACTGCAACATTGTAGTTGTTTTTTTGGTATGTATAATAAGCATAGGTGTCAATTTTGGAGCAGATGATAGATTGTTGGTTGTAGTGATATGATATTTTCATGACTATTCATATCAATGATTATGCTTGCCCCATGAGAAACACACGAAGAAGAAAAGATTATGAGATAGGGAGGGGAAGGGAAAGATGATGAGGAGATGTATTTATCTACCGCATCACAAGCATGCAATATCATCGCATGTTGTCTATCACTCCCATATCACATGGCATTTCTCTTTGTACATACATTTTTAGTAGCATATTTTTTGTTGTGCATATATTTTGTTAGCCCGTGGCAATGCACGGGCATCCTACTAGTATTAATATAGCAACCACCCGATACAACCAGAAGTTTAACGCTGGGGCAAACAACACAACCATGTCCAAAAGAAAAACAAGAGAAAAGCAAAAGAAAGAAATGCCGGCGGCACCGGATGAACGAAAGCTGAAGCATCCCGCAACCGTTGCGCCCACCGGAGACATCCACCACGCTCCAATGCCATCGAGTCGCCGCGAACCAAGCAACACCTTCAAGAAGGACTGCGACGACGACGACGCTGCTGCCCGGACGAATCCTAGGATTTCTCCCGGTACACGGAGGGAAGCGGGGGAGAGGTACTCCCGACGCCCTTCAAGAAGGTTGATGGCGCCCGCAGGCGTCACCGCGTCGGTGCCGGGCGGACCCGAGAGGGATTTCGCCCTACCCCTCAAACCCACAACCCAGGACCAACCGGCGGCTCCACCACGCCAACCGCCCACCACCCTGCGCCACCATAATCACGAGGACACCACCGCCGTCTCTCCGTCGAAGACACTGCGAGGCCGGCCGAACCAAACGAGACCACCGCCGATAGGGACCGGGAGCACCACAGCCACGTGGGAGGGGACAACCTCCACTGGCACAAGCAGTAGCACCGGACGCAGGCGCGGGAGCACTCCGGACCCCTGCCCAGTCGGGCCCAGAATGGGCCCGTTAAGCTCCTGCAGCCGCGATGCAGCCGACGCAGCGCAGAGCCGTCGATCCCAACGACCGCATCCCGACAGCCCAGCCGGAGGAGACCCGCCGAAGGCCAGACCAACCCGCCCTGACCCAGATCGGACCCGAAAGGGCCCAGATCTGGGCCTGCAGGGCTCCGCCGGCCGGCCCACGCCGTCAGCCGCCACCGCCGCCAAAGGGCCGCGCCGCCGCCACATCTGCGCCCGATCTACACCGGAGCACCGCCCACCGAGGTGCACCATCGCCGAAAACCGCCGCCCGAGC